ACTTCTTTAGGTAAATGCGGCACAGTGGCTTAGTGGTTAGCACGTCTGCCTTGCAGTAAATGGGTCATGGGTTCGATTCCTGACCATGGCGCCTCCTGCATGCAGTTTGCATGTTCTCCCTGTGCTTTCGTGGGTTTCCACTGGGTACTCTGGTTTCCTCCCACACTCCAAAGACATGCTGATAGGTTAATTGGATCCTGTCTAAATTGGTCCTAATATGTGTATGTATGAATGTAAGTTAGGGACCTTATATTATATACCCCTTGAGGGTTAGGGACTGATGTGAATGTTCAATATATATGTGTAAACCACTGCGTAAATTGACAGTGCTATATAAGTACCTGAAATAAATGACAAATTCCTCCCTTTAACATACCAGCTATATGCTCACATTGCATTCTGTACAGGTTAAGGCAGAATTTCTCTTTCCTGTATTGCCATTTTCTGTTCTTTCATCTGCCAGTGAGTCTCTTGTGGGTTTTTTTTAAAGAAAGCAAACAGTAGCCCATATTATTAAATAGCTGAATGGAACAAAGGTTGTTGTATGAGATATGAGAGGTTCCTGTATAAAACTGTGTGCCAAGTCTCTGTAGTTTTTAGCTACACCCAGAGAATATGTTAGTCGTATTGCACAAAGCAGTGCCAGCTTTTTATGTGGTCCTTGGTATGCCTCTATTGTGATGCTCTATATGGCATGACACCATATATACAAAACTCCTCCGCCTGCCTGTTACTGATTAGGGCCTTCGTATTAATCCATCATGTAGCATATCTCCACTCCCCTCCCCTCCCCCCTGTTTTCCTCTCTCTCTTTCCTGCAGCAGACTACCATCCATATCTTGGCTTTTATCTCAATCTTCTCCATTTACCTGACAATATCCACCCCATCGACTGTCAGTGTTATCACCCAACACCCCTCTTCTTTAGATATCGTTTCCTCATTATTCCAGTATTGTCATCCTCCTTTTCCAATTTTCCCAACCCTACACCTTGGCTATCCCTCTGTACTGCACAGATGACAGAACTATCAGTCAAGACTGCTCTGGACGAAAAAATATACATTCAACGCTAGTCTCTTTGTTTGCAAGTTAAAAAGGTTTGGAGAGATCCATCCGTCATCCTGCCATTGTGCTGTCAGTTCAGGCCAATGGCTTTTATCGATATGGGTGTGCCTAACCATCCTGTGTCCAACATAGCTTCTGTAATAGAGTTCTTCTGTACCCAGACACAAAAGGTGTACCACCTTTGTGTACTCTATACATAACCCAACCTAAGGCTTTCAATGTAATTAGGTCATGTAACAAAGCAAAGCAGACAACCATAAACTTTGGATTATTCTACATGTATTATTTCTAGTTAAAGTAAACCCATCATAAGAGAAATAGGGGGCCTGTCTTGTTACTGTGCAGATCCACTGGCTGCATTAGTTTTGAAGATACTAACCCGAAATAGCTATCACAAAGTGATCTCAAATGTTGAACTTTATGGTGATTTTCACTAAGCTTTGACCAGGTTTCCCGGGAAGAGGGGCACCAAATGGCTTCCAGGCATGACAAAAAATGAATTAACATTTTACAAAGCTTCACAGTTTTTTTATTAACTACTGGGGCCCCTTAACTGCATAGACTATTTTCTGGAAAAGGCAAACTTTAAATAAAAGACAAACTCATGGAGAAGAAGGTTTGCTGATGACATATTTTGTGTATGCTACCCAATAAACCATTCCCTGGGTGCTACTGTCAGAGCTAGTATGATGTGCGATGAAGATCTATTGATTGAAGGTTTACAAAAAACCTGCTTGGCCAGTGATGTCACCCTGGGGGACAAACCATCTCAGTTGGTTATAAGACAGCAGGACCATTCAATGAGCATTCTTGACCTCCAGCCATATTTCAACAAATACCACATATACCACAAATACCAAGATAAAAGTGGTGTTGTTGAGATACTACATTTACCGTGAAGCTACCCCTGTCACATCACAATAGTTAGAGACTTACAAAGTCCAAAATCTGCCTGCTCTGGCCTTGGAATGGGAAAGGTCAAGAACATGTAAATATTAGCTATGTTTATTCTGCATTACAGAAAACCAATTCTTGACCTTCATCACAAAATGTGGCAGCACATTCAGCAGAGTTGTTTGATGCAGCAGAGGAGGCAGGCATAAGACTTTAAAGCTAAACTGGAGATATATAGCAAATACACAACTAAAGTGTATACATGCAGAATGTATTAACAGCCAAAGGCTCTGTAATATATTCATCTAGTCTTGTGATCTACCCAACACCACCTATAGCCAGGTGAACTCACACTTTTCCACTATGGTTAAGCATTACAGCTTGGTCACCAACCCATCACCAAGCTTTTAAGTAGGCATTTCAGGAAGTAACCCTAAATTAATTTAGTTCATCACACTGCCAACTCTGCTCTCTCCTCCTCTTTCCATGCTCCCTGTGTCAGACTGAGAACATAATTGGCTAAGACTGCGCCCCCCCCCCCCCACAAAGCAGAGTCCTGCTCCTCAAGGGATTAAACAAGGCTAATACAAAGGCATGTAGACGGGTCCAAATGCTGGGTGCCAAATGTGGAGTAAATGCACATTGAGACCAAGAAATAGGGTATTAGAACAAAGATAGGCAACAAATGACACTTGGTATTACTACAAAGTGCTCTCCTCACAGTTCCAACAAGATGGCAATGGGGGCAAATATCACAGCCAACTCAAGGGTAACAGTTCTTCACAGTAGGGTCATTAGAACACAATCTTTTGGCTGCAGAAAAAACATGGAGAAGCTTACAACACCAAGAAATATCTGATGAAGGAGGTGGCTAATAGGTGGTGTGGCGGCAAGAGCACTCGGAAAGCAGAAAGCAGTTACGATCTCTGACCCCATGAAGTATACTGGTTGACTGACTCCTCCACCAGAGCATAGCCCTGCACTAGACAAACTGTCCCTCGCCAGTGGGTTCCTGTCCCTAACTTAGCCACTATGCAAATACTTGCCAACTGAAGTGGAGAGAGCTGTTAATTAACACTGCCCTCAGTTAAGATGGCCATGGATGTCATTCAGCGCAGCAGCATCCAATAGAGGCCTCTAAAACAGCACCACCTGTGTGAGCAGGCTGAGCTGCACTTGCCTACAAGCAGAATAAGGTAGCCACAGTAGCCATGTTCATGATTATTATTTCTATGAGTATATAACTAGATTATATGATCATTTTTTTATATACCTGGAGTTCAGTTTAAACATCATTCAAAATATATTTATTCTACCGAACCTTTTTTTGCTAATATACAATAATATAACTCAAAAGAATGATAGAACAATACACAGTTTCAGATTATGGCCATTATTGTTAGGACTGCTGCCACGCTGGCAGGCGGGCATCATTCATCCGGCATGTTGATTTTGCCAGTACTGATATTGTCACTTAGTGGTGGCCATCCATGCATTTCCTCCACCGATTTAAATGATTAGCACAATGCAGACATTCTGCTGTCCTTGTCTGGGCCCAATTAGAGCAACAAATGAGACCTAATGGAGGCATGGGGATGCGTATCACATCCATGTAACAAACCGATCACTCGAATCCCATGGATTAGGCCTTCTAACCATTCACTGTCATGAAGGCCTGGAACAGATTGCACCATAACTCAGAGAAAGACTTCATACAAGTAGCAATAAGCAAGACAATCAACCATTTGCTACTGAAGGCCAAAATTAAAAGTGATAGCCATCTCTTTGCAACTGTTGGGTCCGTGTACTTGCCTTGACTCGTTTTTTTTTTTTTGCCTAATTTATGGTGGTCTATGATATACAGTATATGTCAAATTATTAGCACGCGGTCTGAAGCATATCAGCAGGCTGCCTGCCTTTATTCTCTATGGCCAATTCAAGGGGCTGTTTTTCTTTGGATTTGACAGAAGGGGAGTTCAGACGACTTTAGAATTGGGCAGAAAGTGCTATCTATGACAATGATGCTTAGTGGCATAAAGTGAATGATTCTCATTGAGTACATATCACAACTGAGTATATTCAGAAATAGTAATATTATGTCTTAAATAATGATTGTGCATGTCCACTTAGCTTTCCTTATGTTGTCTGTAAGTCTGACTCTACTGTCCCTTGAGATCTGACAGTTACTACCTTGACTGAATTCACACACCCTATTTCTCCTCTTTAGTGTGTATTGAGTTTATCTTTTAATTTTGGATAGAGTAGGAAAAGGTTAAAAACTCAGGTTTTTTTTGTTTTTTTTATGGTTTGTGTATCACTAGGGAAATTTCTTTTCACTTCCCTTCCTATCGCAGAGGAGCAACAGGAAGTTATAGGAGTTCCCTTTTGTAAACAGTTGTCCCTGTAATAGGAGCCCCTATGGAAGATTACCCTTCACCTCTTGTTCTAGTGACAGCTCTAAACTTTAGAATTTCCCTAATTTGTTTCTCGATGACAATGGTCACCAGTACAAATAAAGGGATAAATCTCCCCAGCAGGGACACAGACAGCTATAAAAACTGACAAAGGGTCTAATGCTTCTCCACCCTACCCAAAACTACCCAAATCTCTAGGTTTTGCTTAGAGATACACTTTAAGTGTGTAAAAAATACCAACTTCAGGCACCATAATCATAGTCTAGTTAAAGTAGTTTTAAATACTTAGCCATAAAAGTCACCTCCGATCATGCCCGAGTATTCAAATGGTCAGCCTGCCCCTGAGGACTATACAAATTACAGAGCCCAATTACAGTATATCTCTCCTTTTGGGGTGCCAATAACAATGTGAACTTGACAGAGGTCCCTGAACCCGTCTTTTATTGCAGTGTGTGTTCTCTGTTCAGGAGATTTCCCCTCATTTCCTGTCTGGCTGATCAATGTCATTGGCGCTTGATTGAAATTCCATTTTAATATAAAGACTAGTAATTTCTGAAATTTTGTACGTTTTTTTTTTAACTTTTAAATGTTATTTCCGATATGAGTAATACAGTGCTCAGAGATATCAGCTATAATCAAAAGATAACTTCTCTTTTTCTTCTTAAAGGTCATCACAGCGGGGGTCAGTCTTGCGTTAACCTCTATCCAGGACCAATGCGAAAATCTCCAGAGTGGCTCAAACATCACAGGTGAGTACTAAGATGCGTAGGAAGTGTATGCCAGTCATTCAGTCTTTGGTGTTTCAACAGCCTAGTTACTGCTTTAATGTACTGTACAGTTAATGGCTGTGTATAAAGATTAAAGTGAAACTGTCGTCTTAAGTGTTTAAGAGCCCATTTGCACAGTTGCACTTTAAGGCATACACTGACAAATATGACATGTCCATTTTGTCTGCATTTTAGTGCATTGAGAGGCTCATAGAAGTCAATGACAGAGCACCAAATGCATACACCATATCTTTTGAAACATTGGCAGCAAGTATTCAGAGGCCTTGGTCAGTGGCTGTTAACCCTATCTATTCCAAAAAATAAATTCAAAAAGATATGCATCAAAACACATGTCAACACACAAAGAAAACACATGCTGATACAGGATGAAAAAAAGGACCTCTATGCAAACACATGGATCGAATTGGGCCCTTAAAGTAACAGTCCTGTCTAAATACAGATATAGCAGTGCATTGGCTATTTCCTTTGAAAGCGAGGAAAACATGTACAGTTTCATTCAGGGACCCAGTTATTATTATTATACAGGAATTATATAGCGCCAACAGTTTGCTCAGCGCTTTACAATATAACAGGAGACAATACAGCAACAATACAGTTCAATACAAGAGGGTTAGGAGGGCCCTGATCCTTGGAGCTTACAATCTAAGAGTTATGAAGCAGTTGCATGGCCTTACTGCAACCATGCCACTTCAAAGGGCTTCAAAACCCTTTCATTTGTTTATAGAGTTGGAAAAAGTGAAAACCTCTGCCAAGCAAGGGAAATCTAAAATATTTTATTGTTTTTTTTATCTATTTATTTTATGTATGGTTTTTCAAGACAAATGTACATCGTGTCAGCAGGATCCAGGATCAGAATGAAAATTTAAATTAATAAAAAGCTTGTGGTGTGGAAGAAGTGTTCACATTTGTAAAAATGTAAAATCTTGAGTTGTCACTGGAGTGGGACTAAAGGGGAAATCTTTGTCCTGGTGACAGCTGTCTAATATAGGTATTCTCTCACTTTGGAGAGATCTTCTCTCACTTCCTGTTGTGCCTCAAGACAGGAAGTGAAGGGAAATCTCCCCAAACAAACACAAACTGCCAAAAATACTAGACTTTTCACCATTCCATATTCTATCCAAAGTACAAAAAGGGAAAACTGCACTTTGCTAATGCACAGAGGTGTGAATACAAGTTGTGCTTTGAGCATTGTATAAAGGGTCAAAAGGGTAAAAAGAACCTATGATGTCAGTGGATTGAAGACACTTGGAAAAAAGATATGTAAAAAAGTGTTTGGTTTTTTTTAAGTGATATTAAAGCTTCACATTTTTTTTGTATTAAAATTACAGTCATGTTATACTTACCTACTCTGTGCAATTGCACAAAGCAGCCCCGATTCTCCTCTTCTCTGGTCCCCCCCAGTGCTCCTGGCTACTGTGCTTCAGCAAGTGACCACCATAGAAAGTTGCTTTCTATGGAGGCACTCATGCCAGCTCACTTCTGAGCCTCCCTGTCTGCATCTATTGACACAGACAGGGCGGCTTGGCCCCAACTCCCGCTCCCCCGTCGCAAAATTTGCTCAGTGAAAAGGGGGATAGTGGACAGAGCTGTTGCTCTCATCGCTGGATTGAGTTCTGGCTCAGGTAAGTATAAGGGGAGCTGGGAGGATCCTCTGGCACAGAAGGTTTTTTACCTTAATGCATAGAATGCATTAAAATAAAAAAAAAACCTTCAGCCTTTGCAACTACTTTAAGGCTGCGTTGTTGCTCCACTATGGGGGCAAATGAGGGGAAGGAGGTCTGATGAGTTCAGTGTTTGGCTTTAATGTATAAGTCAACTTACAAATTGATAATTCATGTGCTGAAGTGATCACTTGATCGTGTCTCAGGGACTTTGTGAGACCTCTGTGCTGTGAGTTTCTGGGTCCGTGCACCTGCTGTGCCCATTATGAAGTGCTCCCACTCTAACCACTTGCTTATATAACAAATAATGGAGAATATTGCTTATACATCTTGATTATATAGTGAGCCCTTTGCCAAAAATGAAGTTATTTTTATTATTTATGGCTGCTATCAGACACCATTATTGACAAAATGTTACTCTGTAGGTCTGGCCTGTAATATCTCTATTGATATGATTGGGACATGTTGGCCTCGCACACCAGCAGGACAACTGGTGGCACGACCATGCCCTGAATATTTCCAAGGTGTACAATACAACACAACAGGTAAGACTTACTCACATCATTCCAAGGCATAAAGTGGAGAGGAGATAAAGTTCCAGGAGATAAAGTTACATCCATTGGGAAACTTCTATTACAATTATACTGAGCTTTTTATATAATATAACATGGTAAATAATGCTGTCAAAAGACTTTTTTGTTTAATTTTCCTTTTGTAAAAATAGTCATGTCCCATGATTTTAAAAAGTAGTGGTCAATTCTTACAACCTTTCATCTGTGTGTTGCATGCAGTGGTGTATTTAGGTTTTGTGCTGCCCTAGGCAACACAAAAATCGGACACCCCCCTTCTCCGATGGAGGGAGCCTGACACCGACCAACACCAGACCCCCCCTACGGAGAGAGCCTGACAGTGACCAACAACACCCCTGCCCCATCCCCACCCGAGAGAGCCTTCCACTAATACCCACCCCCCCCACTGGCGACAGAGAGAGACACTCACCTTCACAGCTCTGGACATCCCCAGGAACGACAGTCGGGCTCTGCATCCACCATCAAGCAGCCTACAGTCTCTCTCAGATCCCACCTGGTCCCCATGCTGCACATGTCCCTTCTTCCGGGGGGCAGTGCGGCCCCCTTAGAAAATGCCACCCTAGGCAAATGCCTTGTCTGCCTTGTGGTAAATACGCCCCTGGTTGCATGAACCCTATATGTGCCCCACCCCATATTTAGGCTGAATTTTGGAAAAAGCCTTTTAAAGATCCCCATTGAACAGTAAGAAACAGTATTTTCAGACACATTTGTTTTCAATTCAATTTTAATAAGTCTGCTATACAAACACCCTTTTTAAGGTGCACAGGGGATGGCATAGCATTGAACTTGAGTTTTAATTTTTTTATTCCATTTATAATAATATTCAATTCTTTATTAATTCTGCTATTCCAATCCCACATACTGTATTATTCAAAGTGAAGATCTGTCACAAAGAGTTGGGCATTTGGCCAATTACATTAAAATTTGTAGCTGCATTTAAGATCATTGATTGCTATGACAAATTCACTGGATCACTGCTCTAATTGTCAAAAGAGTTGATGATAGAAAAATACAGCACGACCTCTTTCAGCTGGAACCCATATTCTATCTATGAATCAGCTCTAAAACTGATGGATTATGTTTTCAGTGAATTGACTTCTTTTATATGACTTGAAAGGGTACATATTACTGTCCATTTACATAATGAAAGGAAACTGGCGACTTATGCAAAATAATATTAGAACATAATAAATAGAGATGAGTTAATCAATTCAATGGGTAATGTAATCCTGCACAAGGGAACTGAAATTTGCCATTCCATGTGACTGAAATGTGCACCAATTTTTGCAATCTGCAGTGAACTGTCAGACTGCAAATTAATGCAAGCTTCCTTGTTAGATAATTAATCATTATACTCTTCTAATTTTGACAGATTTCCGCATTATTCTGTTTATGTAAAGTATGTGAACAGCTAGTATTTTTTAGCCAGAATAGCAGCATTGTTTGGGATGTTATCAAAGTTTGGTGTAGATATAAAGGCTGATGTAGGATGATTACAATCATAATTCTAAGGAGGACTAAGCAATGTCCATAAAGAAATCAGGTTCAAAGACAAAACCTGAAAAGAAGGTTACTTTGAAGGTTAAAGTGCGCACTTGACCTGCTAAGTAACTTTCTTTTCAAGCTTTGTCTTTGAAACCTGATTTCTTTTTGGTAATTGGTGTCCAGTTACAATTCGGGGTGAGTTGGCGACTACAAGAATTATAATGATAAATTCAACAGAGTACTCCCAGTGAGTTTTTAACTATTTGAGTTAGAAGTGTGCTTTATTTTTCTATGTAATGGAGGTTTTGATCTCATGACCGGACCTGAGTGCTTTTTACAATAGGTAAGTATAAGTACCTTCCTTTTACAGGGTAGTTAGAATAGGATTTAAAAAGGGGGTGGAAGCAGGTTTAAGATTGGTTAATTATAGCCTGGACTTCCACTTGAAAGTAAATGAGTACTAAACCTGGACAGAGAACATGAGGAACAATTGCACGAGCAGGAGTTACCAGGTGTCAAAATGAATTGTAGAGGACCATAGGTTCTATACAATTGTTGCCCAGGGGTGGACTGACCATTTTTGAAACTCGGGCATTGCCCGAGGGCCCGGAGTCAGTAGGGGGCCCCATGAGATGCCCTTGGTACCTTTTTCATAGGCTTTTTTGAGTTTGGGCAAGGACACAGGGGCCCCATGATCCCCTATTGCCCGGGGGCCCCATGAGTTGTCAGTCTGCCCCTGTTGTTAACGGAACCTTTTCTTGTTATTCTGTTAAACCCAACAAACGTTTATAAATATACTGTATGTTGTGTGACAGTGTGATGATCTGTCACGATATAAAAAGGATATCTCAACAAGGCAGGTTGAGGGGCTCCAGGGTACTTGTTTGATGCAGAGGAAAGTGGCTTTTCACTTTCCTCATTTGTTTGTAAAGTCCATTTTGGGACCTGGAGATTTCAAAGTGATTTGGGAGGGATGAAATCTCCAATCCTGGGACCAGGTTTTTGGAATGGCCAGGAGACTGATTGGTCAGGTGTGTTTGGTTCTCTTTTAGAGTCAGGACCAGGGTTCTGGGCTCCACCCACCCGAGGAGTCCAGGTGCAAGGGAGCAGCCACAAGGGTGCATGGTGGCACAGAGAAGTTTGAGAGCCCAAGCCTGTGGGCTGGAGAAGCAGGAGTGCTGAGAAAAGGCGCTAACTCAGGTGCAGTGGGTTGTATGTGAAAGGTCAAGAGGACTGAGGCATGAAGCCTGAACAGCGGTGCTGCTAAAGAGAGCCAGGAGGCTGAATGTTTTATTTTGTATTGATGGTGGATACCCCTGTGTGGGAAACATGTTATATGGAACTTTCTTTCAAATAAAATTTGGCAAAACAGCCCTTAAAAAGAAGAAAGAGTGTGGCTGTGTGTTGTTAAAGCTCTACCCTTGATGCTAGTTCCCACAGTTGTTTAAAAAAAAATGAACTGTTGATCCAGAAATATAGTCAGCTTAAAGTGTTACTAAACCCGGGACACTGCATTCACTCTTTTTGATCTCCAACAGCACACAGAACATGGAAGTGCAATTATTTTAGTAAATATAAACTGCAAAATATCTTTTCTCAGCAGCAGTATATAGCAGTCTTGTGACTTCTATCAGTGTTCAGCAGAGCACTGGTTATAGCTCCCAGGTCCCAGAAGATTGTGGGACGATTCTCAATGGGCAGCACGGCTCATGCATGCACAGTGGGTAGCCAGCTGCGAAGCTGCATGTTGTCACAGCTGGGTGCCCACAGTTAAGATGCCAACACTCAGGACCGAACATGGTCCTCAGCGCCCTCTCTGATGAGTATATCGCTGGATCCAGGGACAGGTAAGTGACTGATTATTAAAAGTAAGCAGCTACAGTTTTTATAGCTGTTGACTTTTAATTTTCTGAAAACAGACTGGAGCTCTTTAATTTGCTTTGTGAGCAGGGAGTTGCTTCTGTTTTGTTATCCCTAATGGTACTATAAAAAAGGGTCTCTAGGCTTGGTATGGTGAGTAAAGTGGAACTACACTGCATCTGAGCACCACAAACCATCTTCAGTAAGGACAGATAATTAATGTAGCATTTATTTCCTGAAATCCATCTGCCCTTAGCTCAGGCATGCAAGCAGGCTGGTGTGCTTAACTGAGAAAACCCCTCTTCCCCTCCTGAAGGCTCCTGGGATCTTTGACATAATTTGCCTAGGCCTGGAAAGCAAAGTAACTGAAGAAATGTAAAAAAAAAAAGTTTAAAAGAAGTACTGTAAATATGATACACTTTCCTATATATATTTACTAATGATAGTAGCAAAAGGATTAAAGTGATTCTAAAGGTTCTTTTTTTTTTTCTTTCTTACAAAATAACAAATATGTCTATACATACCTGCTGTGTTCAGTAGCTTTGCACAAAGCAGCCTGGATCTTCCTCTTCTTGGGTCCCCTGCAGGCTCTCCTGGTCCCTCCCTTCTGTCAGGTGCCCCCACAGCAAGCAACTTGCTATGGGGGCACCCACTGCTCCAATCCGAGTGTCCGACACATGGAGCTACAGCTTGGCCCCGCCCCCCTCTCCTCATTGGCTGACTGGCTGTGATTGCCAATGGCTCCCGCTTAGTGTCTCAACCAGTGAGATGGCAGAGACCCAGAACAGCCGAGGCTGTCATTCACATCGCTGGATTGTGATGTGATTGCTCAGGAAAGTACTGGGGGGGGCACACAGAAGGTTTTTTTACCTTCATGCATAGAATATATGAAGGTAAAACTCCTTGAGCCTTTACAACCGCTTTAAAAATAGTCAATGTTCATTGAGAGAGTGAAGTTCCACTTTAAGCCTGGTTTGTAAAATATTAATTTTGAGTCCTAGGCCAAACACTTCTCTCCTGTAAACCTGAACTTTAATTATTCAAAGTCAAGTGTGTACTGCGGGGGATAAATTTGCACAGTTTGAAATTCCCTTAGAAGTTGAGTTGTTTGTTCTAAATTCCTTTTTATCTTGTGCATGTTAACAATAGTCAAAAATCAATTTAACATTTACTCATGCTAAGCTCTTGAACTTTTCAAAAAAAGATTTAGGTCTCTTATGACCTTCATAAAATATATACAGGTCTATTACTTAAAGACCTCAAAGTGAATCTGTCATGCAGTGAAAGGCCACAGGGTTGCTTTATTGGTGGCCCCAGTAGCTGCATATACTTAGCTGCCGTTTACTCCCTCGGCTCTGTTTGCAACGTGGAGTGTATACAGGGCTGTGGACTCTCTATCCACATCTATGTGGCAATGCTGAGTGTTTAAGTGGCCAATTGGCAAGCACCTGCACTGTCACATGGGAGGAAGGATAGTGAGACAAATGGTCATCTTTTACCCAGAAGGTATTTTTGTTCGCTCCATGCAGATAAACAGAGCTGTAGAATAGTACGACTAACATCTAAGAATTGATCAGCTGCAATATACAATATTACTTTTATTAGATTAACTTTACAATAAGATTATGTTCATTTTTTGGTGACCAGTTGGGCACAGTTGTTTTGAAGTGGTACTTTGGTGTTAAAAACAAGTCTGCATAAAATGTTTACCCATATACTGATAAGAAACCCAATTGCGTAGATAAAAGGCTCTCACAAAAGCCTAAAGTGCTACATAGCTGCTGCCCCCCACAAGCCAGATTGAAATTAGGCCGTGTGGCAGCTCTCATGTTGAGGTCCAACAATAAAAATAGGAATTAGTAAGGGAAGGTCAAACATACTGTTATTGTTTTATTGCTATCTATGTCCCTCTTGCAAATTTTTCCTTCATTCCTATCTGGTAAAATTGTTGTCACCTTGACAGGAAGTGAGAAAAATATATCCTAGTGTAGTCCTGGATAGCAGTAAAACCCACCAAGGGCTCTAGTCATTTCCCACACTCGT